TGCGCAAAAATTTGTTTTGCCGTTCGTGCAATCCACACACAGGCACACACACACACACACACACACACACACGTGTTCAAAATATATGCACAATGGTAAGTAGTACGTGCCTCGAGTAAATAAGCCTATGTGGGACAGTGGAATAAAGACAACGCGTCGGAAATCGCATGGTAAGGATAAAAGTTATTCCGGTGTAAATATCAGGTCACCGCTATTTCACCGTTATTCTTAAAAACGAAACGATTGTCGTACTGTATGTGTCTATCATCTTGCCACACCACCGTGACAAATACATTTAGCGGATTACTGGCATTACTCTCAAATTTGATACTATTTTTTTTTTGTGCGTAAAAATCCCGCTGCATTTCTCATTACAACGAAATAACGTGCGATTACGTCGTCAACGTGTACGCGGGGTCGAGAGCATTCTGTTAACATTCAAATACCGCGGAATTATCTAGTGAAATGTATTTACATAGAATCTCTCTCTCTCTCTCTCTCTCTTTTATTGTCACGCTATCGTTTTAACTGCAATTATTTTAAAATTATAAGTACGATTGTAAAAGCGATCTTTTTTTTTCCTACACACCGATAAATAGGTGTACTTTTCATCTTATCGTGATGTCGTTTCTCTGTTGTGAAGTTAAATGCTCGGAGCAGTCGCATCGCTGCGTGTCACTGTGATCCACACTTAAACATTTATTTAAGGTACAAGAAAACTATTTCAATATTTCTTTCACTTTTTAAATTTATAAAGAGAAATGTTCGACTTTGTAATGTGTTTTTTTTATAACAACTTTCATCTAATGTAGATGTAATTTTGTAACAAAAAATAAATTTATTATGCGTTTTTTTATATTCCAAATACATTGTAAAATAATGTAACAACAAAATTATTTTTTAAAAACGCAAATAAATAGAAAAAAGTTTAAGTGTCGGTCATGGTGACTCAGCGGTTATATATTTAAGATATCCCTTAAGGGATTCCTAAGGAGTGCGATCACTCAAGATTACTTGCACTCATCGAGCTCGGAGTTGGCAAGTTAAGAACACGGCATTTTAGGGTTTCTTCGCCCACGTACCGTAAAAAAAGTAGAGAATCAGGGCATAAGTAGTAGAGAAAAGACACGCCACACACACACATACACACACACACATACATACACGTCAGACTCGCCTTTTTTTCTCTCCCGCTCGCTCGCCAGGTATACATTCCCGTTACTTCGCGGAATTGTGGGAAATTGGGTGCCAAGTCAGGTTAATTAAACAACACACGATCCTTTTGTTTTCGTGGTGCACGATACGCGTGTGAGTCACACAAGTACGTACGTAAATACGTACGTACGCGCCGGGCTCACACATGCAACACGACTCGAATACGAGCGTGAATTTTGAATCAAAAGTAGTGCGATCGCTCGGCTGTGTTAATTAAATTGTATCTTTTATTTTTTATGCGGAAAAAAAAACGTTTCTCTTCGGTCCGTCAATCGGGTTACAGCATCCGTATGCAAATTCAGCGTTGACGACTCAGCAATCTTACGAGTGTGCGAAAAGTGCGATCGAGCGATGTCGTTGATGTAATCTTCGTAACGCGTCATTACGCGTATTAATTCGCGCGCGAATATACGTTATTGTAACTAACTCTAGTAGGACGCGCTTCTGAAGCGGAGATATATGAATATCAAAACGTGATAAATATCAATCTCGTTGGCAAGCAAGAGTGACTTCATGAGAAGTCGTAACGATGAAACCTGTTCCCCCGGCCGGATACTTGACACCAACGATCGGTTTAACGATAACAACCGCATCGATCTTGTAGTTTTCCAACAGGAAATAACATCCGTATCCCGCAAAGAGGAAGAGAGGGGAAGAGTACAATAACTATGGATGTGACTCAAACGGACGATTGAAGAAGAGCGATCGATCGTTCGAGGAGAGACGCGGAACGACGGTAGAAGAAAAAGAAAATTATTGCGCTTGACGCGTACGGCGACACGTGGGAAATGCGAGTAACCGCCACTTTCCGCGGAGATATGATCATACGGTCGTTAACCCGCGGAGGAAGTAGTCTCTCGCACGTGTTATTAGAGCTAAATGTAAATCGACCAACGACTGGGAGAGAGAGAGAGAGAAAGAGAGAAAATCTATCCCTCGCGTGTCCAGGAAAACGTTGCTCTTCCATCGACTGCTCGTTAGAAAAGAATTGCACATAGGAAGCTCGTGTAAAGAAATAACGTAGACACACATACATCGTGAAATCGCTCGTACTTATCACACGCTTTGCATTGAAAAAATAATAACCCTATGTAATGTTACACAATCGATCGGTTAACGATATATGTGGTGTCTTATTTTTGAAAAACATCTAGTGAACATATATACGACTATTACAATTTTACTCTATTGTTCAAATGAGTAATACAATTGATGTATGTTATATCGAAGAGACATGTGTTGAGATTTCATTATTCTAAACTTCAACTACTATATATTGTCTGACATATTATCCGACTATTTACATAGTCAGGTCTTGTGGTTTGCTGCGCAAAAGAAGTCTCAAGTCTTGTTTGGCGTTCAATAAAATTGCACGACTTTCGCATCGATATGTCGATACTTTGTAATAAATGTGAAACAAAAATTGTGTGGAAAGAATCGAATTTGCGAAGCCGATGCAAAACTAGAAGCTGCCGATTGTTGCATTACGATATTACGCGCATAAAACATACGCAGCGCGTGTATTTTGCGAGACGTTTTGTGAAATTTAATTTCCACGTAGTTTTTTCTGAATCGTAGTGTTTTTTTTTTGGCAGCGAGAAAATAGGTGAACGACTTTCCTCACGATATAGCTCGCCGCAGACGCGCGTCGGCCGTGAATCCTCGCCAACTTTTCACACGTTATGTTGGCGATGTAAGCCGCTTCGCACTTTCCACGCCGTGAAAAAAAAAAAAATAGAAACAAGCGGAGGATCGTGGAAAGTCGATTAGATGCGCGCGTATGGGAATACGCGCGCGTATTCTCTCATTCAAAAGACATGTGTGTGTGTGTGAGTGTGAGTGTGTGTGTGTGTTTGCGCATTTAATAACAAATGTAGAGACATGATGATCTGAGACGCGAGTTAGCGCGGGTATAAATAACTGTAGCCTTCGTTAAAGATGGCATTGAAAAATTATCTCATTTAACCGGACGAAAGATAGAGATTCGAGATTTGCCTCAGACGAGATCTCATCTCTTCGCGCGACGTGCGTTAGTTAAGAAAGTTCCGAGAATTGTTTTTCATTTGATTTTAACGAGATTATTTTTATATACACACGCACACTCTTTCGAGAAACTGCGTGTAGAATCAGAGACAAATTTTTTAACCTACACCAGTCGTCGTTATTTAAATGGATGCTTGGAACGGAGATCCGATTTACCGGTCACGCGACGGTGCCGAGTAAAATTTCAGATCAGATAAAAAGAGGAATCGGTGTGTGCAGAACTCTATATCGCAAGATGCGCGCATAGATGCTCCGCACGCATTACACACGTCACTAATTAGCGAGTAACCCTTTGCTGAGATTTTCAAACACCGCTCTCTTCGTCTCCGCAAATTGCGCGTAATCGAGCGCTTCGGTTAATTCGCGGTTGAGTTCGATAACGCAGCTAGCGTGGGATGATCTCGACCTTAAATTGAATCGCGCGATGCTATTAGAAATTATTTAAGAACATTTATATATGCCTAATCCATATTACGTGTACATTCAATGTGCGACTCATACACGACTCATACGCGCATATTCATACACGGCGTAGCGTGTTAAAGACTACGTAGAATTAAAAAATGTGATAAACACGGCGCGTGAATGAAATTAACTCTTCGCGGACAGAGACTTAAAAAATGACGACTTGTTGGACAGATTGTGAGACCCACGCGACTTTGAAATCGAATATCTCCGTGAAAATTCAACATTTTTTCAATTTTGTTTTTTTTTTTCATCGAAATTTTGAACGATTCTGCGTCACTAAACAAAAACAAATTGAAAAAATCTCTTGTAGTTTTGTAGATGTAAGAAAGAAACAAAGTTTTACTAGAAACGCCGATGCGCAATTTTGGAGTGGATCTGGGAGACCCATGTCTGTTTTCGAAGAATTTAACTACCAAATTTAACTATCAAATAACTTTCCGACTTCGGAAAACATTCGTTAACATTACGTTAAACTTTGCGACTTGTCATAGTAACTCGAACGAGATTCGAAAGCTGACACTAATTTCATCAGCGAGTCAATTTATAACGAACAGTCGATTAAGCGCGCCGTATTGTTACGCGCGCCTGATTAGCGCGGCAGTTTCGTCGGTTCCGTAAAATGGAGTGCGCTTCAATGGCACGTGAAGCGTAGAATGTCGCTACAAACCGCGTGTACAAGCATTGTCTCATAATCAGTCGGACTCATTAAATTTGTTAGCGTTTAGAAAGCGACAAAGTGAATGTGGGGTACGGTGTGTATAATGATTATTATAATCGCTCGCCGTAGAGTGCGTTAATAAGCTATTATATTTTCCACGGGAGATTAACCCATCTTTGCACGAAATGTGCTGAGAATCCATCGTCATAAACATTTTCTAAGAAAATATGTTTTAACCACGTTCTGTGGAAAAATGCTCGTTCTTCCACGCTATCATCAAGATAACCGTTTTCACATCGGGTTTTGTTGTATTTTACTTTTCGCCGTTGATCAAAGACTTTAATTAATTCTGTATATTTGGCGAATTACTTACATTTTTATAAATTTATATGCACAACAAAATTTCTCATTCTTCTGTTTTCGTTTATAGATCTTACGTGTGCGTGTATAAAAAAAATAAATTTGTCAAGAATTGATTTTTATATGAAACAAGTCGTACAAATTATAATTAATGCGTGTTTCTCAATCGGTATAAAACGGCACGTTGGATGCATAATTAACTTTAGGAGAGAATAATTAAGGTAAAGGTTAAAAAATTAGATTCAGCTACACGTACCTGTAGCGATCAGCGCGAGAAGAAAGAAGCAAATCACGATTTTGGGCTCCATAATTGTGGACCGCGACCTTCCGTGTGAGAACTGCAATTTTGTCACGTCCACTCGGTATGTCGTCTCTTTTGAAAAAACTTTTGAGAAATCTCGAACAGGATCCCCGTCACAACGGCTTCAGATCAATTCTTCTGGTCAAAAATTCACCATACGCACCGCGAAAGAACCGTCATTTCGGTGTACGAGAGAGAGAGAAAAATGCTGCCTCTTTTCTTTTTATTTTAGCCGAGCACTGAAACGCGAATTCGGCAACTTTGGCTTCTCGAGTAACCTCCTCGCAGAGAGGGTTGTGGGCTGACGGTGTTGCGATTACCCGCAAGAACCGCACCGATATATACACCGATGTCGAACAACGTTCTTCCCCGACTGAACTGAGGCTCTTACACTCCGGCCAGGAAGTCGTCCAGGTGTGTTCTGCTCCCCTCCACCTGTAGCTCAGGTACCACCACCTCGGCAAGGTAACGACCGCTGTGCCGGTTGCCATCAGGAACGAGAGAGACTCGGTCTCTGTACGACTGATTGACTGTTTATCCCTCTCTTCTCTGATGCTTTCTTAACATTCCTCTTCTCTGGAATTCAGGCCGAACTACCAACACATCGCCGGTGAAAACACGGATAGAGTAACTATCTATCCCTTAGGATACAACCTAAATAAAAAACCGTTTTTTTTTTTTTTCGGTTTCTTCGTTCTTTGAGAAACGAACGAGAAAGTGCGTTGTTTCGCGGCAGCACGTATACATTACATTTGATAGCAATGTTACACAGGGTTTAAATAAATTACGCGTGTCACGTAATGTATGTGAGATAATGTAATGCTATTACGATGGAGCGTCGAAAATGTTCAACCGACAGTTGATGTAACTGAAACGCTTCGCGTCCGCCGGCGAGAGATTGCGCGCATCAATTTTTTTTTTTTCCGTGACAGAAGTAGACTATTATACTACGTATATAATTCTGAGCATTCTCGCACACGATGATTGATTAATTAAGCAACGTATGTATGGGATTGTCACACGTAATGTAGGATGTCACAGAGCAAAAACGCGCATCGTTCGACGTGGGACTGTAGAAATGGAATCCAAGCGTTTTGTGGAGAAAATAACAGACTTATGCGCGGACGTTGCGAAAATGCGTGGAAACTCCACGGCAATTTAAGGTAGCAACGTGGTCGTGATTGAGAACAATGTGCGCATAATAACTCCGCGGAGAGCACAAGTGCGACCGTAGTTCTCTGTGACATGCGTAAATAATTCGTTTTCGTAATGTGCAATTGAATTACTCGCACGGGGAGATGCTTCTTGCAAAATCGTTACACGACGTAAACAAATCGACGATTTCCATGCGTCGGGAAACGTTCACCTGAATTTTCTGCTGTGCCCGTTTGTGTTCTCTCGGCACTATTCTAAAACGCGATTTATATACATATATGTATACATATAATATACATATATACACAGAGTGAAGATTTACTTAAAGTAATCACAATCCGCTTTTAATTGATACTGCTTATATAAAATCAATAAATACAGGGAAAGTAATAGCGATTGTGATAAATATCAAAAGATCGTCGTTTTACATTAATCGCAAGACGCAAACGCAATGGAAGACGCAAACGCAATGAGAGACGCAAATGTATGCATATAAATGTATTTATTAGGTGACGCGCTCGCTGTTTGCAATTTGCGAACCACGCATTTGCGCGCGGTATAACTTGCATTTATTCACTCTAAAGATTCGTTTTAATAAATAAATTCTCTTACCTTAGTTAAGGTAATCAAGTTTTTTATTTTTATTATTTTATTAATTTTATCGCTGCATTCTTTGTCGCGCGATCAGAAGAAGAGATCGCGATTGAGTATTCAATTAGAAATATAAGCGTGCGCGACGTGAAAAGAGTGTGTATGTTCATATTCGCGCGTATATCGTGACATCACGTGGCGGTCGCGTTCATGATAAGATAACCACTTCAGAAGCGGCAAATTCTCGTGAGAGCGATTCTCAATTCTATAATCACTGTAAGTTCTCGTTTGTCTTAAGATTCCCGTGCAAAACCACTTTTCTATAAAATTTAATAAAACTTAAATAGAATGTTAACAATGATGATTTACAATTACTGACGCAATTTCAAAAAAATTGACCGATTGTGAAGCGAGATATTCACACACACACACACACACACACACACACACACACACACACACACACACACAC